GTTTCATAAAGTTTTACTCTTGTAAATTACACTGGTAAATACTTGCCATTTTCTAACAACCTCTCTACACCCGTATTATTTGAAGTAGACTAGTATTTTTGGAAAGAGAGTTATTTCATTACTCACATCATTTAAAAAAAAAAAGAATTATTAAGTTCTTTTTGCAAGTGCGAATTGGCTCACGTTTGTAATTTAAGATAAATATAGATCTGTGAGTGCTAAAATGATAATTATTATTAGATGTAAATTACAATTAATAAATTTGGCGTAGTACAAAATGAGTGAAATTGAATTTTATAATGTATGTACAATCGCCCTATTAGAATTAATTATAATTATAAGTTATCAATTTCTGTGAAATTTTAGTATAATTTTACTTGAGTTAAATTTCATGGTTATATCAACTATTTAGCTATCACAGAGAAAAGATTTTTAAGCTTTGAGAGAAACCAAATTAAAACCGCATACCGTATTGAACAAAGATGTAACAAATGTATCCAACATTGCAACATTTATCAGATTATTTTACACCCAAGGCTCTTGGTTTTATTTAAAGACATTTTAATAGGAATTAATAGTATGACAATTTTAAAGAGGAGTTGCATTGTATTTTTTGAGGTGCTTATTATTTGCTTCCCTAAATAGATAAAACCCTGTGATGTACTAACAATTTTGTAGGCTTATATTTGATTTTTGGGCGTTGGACTGAACTGCTTATCATAAAAACATTACGTTTAATCTATTTTGGTATTCCGAATTTGTTATTCAAAGTAATAAAAAAATTAGATCTTGATTAGAGCTGTTATTTTAATGTAAAACATGTAAAAGTTTAATTAATGGAACTGAAGTATAGTGAGTGGTGCGGATTTGAACCAGGGACCCACCACATGAGAAGCGAAATCTCTACCTCTGAGCTACGCCCTGCAATAGCGCATATATGCCATGTTTTACTATACTTAAAAACCTACTTTTCCATTGCTTGTAACGGCGTTGCAATTATTTGTTACATCAATAAACGTTTAGGCTTATTATTCATGGTTTGTAGACTCAAAATTAGAATATCACAGGATGGTTTTTAACCCAAATATTCTTATGCATTCGAATATTTGAAAACATAGGTTAGGGTACTTGAAAACGTTCCTAACAAAATGTCCTTACACGATTTAATTAAGTTCAAAATTTGAGCCTTCTTTTCTTTACTCATAGCAAGCTTAATTTTATATGTCAGAATAAAACAAAAACTATACAAATCACAGCAAATGCGGCAGCAACAGATCAATTTCCACCCAACTGTTGAGCGCCGCAACTAGGCCTACAATCGGCTACTACAATCACCGTGTTGATTGCAGCGACGCGACGCCGCGCCGCGCCGGCGCGTCGGCGGGGTAATTGATGGACATAAGTAATAGCGTTTTGATAAATAATATGTGATTGTTTTACTTATGTGTCTATATAGTTATTAATTCAAAGAAAACACTGCGTTTCTACAACTATTTACTTTTTGTATCAAATGAAAACAAAATTTAAACCCTTTATAAAGCGCCAGAAAACCCGTGATTGAGGTTAGAAATTTGTTTTCAAAGTTTACCTTGTAAAGTTGGTCACGTGACTAGTATTTTTGGTCACGTGACTAGTAAAATACACTAGTATTTACTAGCGGTATAAAAACGTTTATGAAACACAAATTAGTAGGACAGGTAAATACGGGACTAGTATTTACTAGACTAGTAATTACTAGACTAGTATTTTTATGAAACAGGGCCCAGAAGGATTTTATATTTGAGGGGATGCTCTTCTCGACTTTGTTTAGATATTCAGAGTGGCATTGGCTGATAAGTTGATTGCAGATTCTTCTTATATGTTGAAAGTTGATGTAGTCTTGTTGGGACAGGGATGACTTGTATTTTTTATGCAGAATCTTCTTTTGAATTACCAAACTTCTAAGATGCTTTGAAAACCATAGAGGAAATTTACAACTGTCGACTTTTCTCATGGGCGTGTACTGTTTGATCACAGATTCCAGGTAATTGCACAAATTGTTAAATTCATCTTCAATGCTCTGGTGATCGGTAAAAGCGGGATAGTTTAGTTGGAGCAGATTATCAAAAACATCACTCATGTCGCAGCGACGGAAATCATAGATGTATGTGGGGCCTTATGATCACAATGTTATGATCACAATTACGGGAGATTATAAAGATTTTGTGGCATTCGTGGAAGATTACAGGAGACAATGTCAATGTTGCTGCAACATTTTAGTTCTGTATGTTGAAAGCTTCTTTATTGTTCACAGAGACATACGGTAATAACTTCAACAACATTCGTGGTTATATTACTACCTTCGCCAACGTTTGTGGTACAATTGTCAGACTCTCCACCATTTGTGGCAACATAGAAAACCTCACTTGCTTTTGTGATGTTGCTGCATTTTTAAAAAAAATTGTTATCTTTGTCAATGTTCACAACATCATAACTTGATTTTAGGAAATTTCAAGCAACATCACCAACATTCCTGGCAACAAGGGTAGCCTTGATGACATTTGTGAAATCATCACTAGAATCTTCAATGTTCTCAACATTATTGCTAACATCGCCAACAACACATCGATTTCACTAACCTTGGCAATATTGCTTGCTTCGGCAAAGATTATGGTGATATTGCTAGCTTTTCTGACATTTGAAACGCTAATTGAGCTGACATAGTGGCTGTCAAAAGTAACATACTGTATAACCAAACAGTCACAACTATGTATTTTAGTGTAAGAGAGAACAAAGCATATGTTACAGCCTAGGGGTCGAGTTCTGAACCACTATTATGGATTTTTGTTGACCTTGAAATGTTCTAGTTTGAGGACTTCATGCTGTCCTTGTAAACCTTTTATTTTGTTAGTTTCACTGCCAATGATATTTTTGTAAGATATAATTCTAAATGCTATTAAGAGATTGGGCCCCAACCCCTGAAGTTGATATGTTTTTAAAGGATATGACAAGGGTCAGAAACCTGTCCCTATCACACCAGAATCTGAGACGTTAACATCAAGGAAGAATACATTGAAACACACATAAAAAACACAAATAAATGTTCAAAACAGTAGATCAAATCAAATCAAATATAATTTATTCCATGAAAAACATAAATTACAAAACGGTATTCTTAATAGTAATGGAACCTCCCCACATAGGCGAAGCCTGTGCGTGGGGAACAAGTTGTAATCAGTCCATCCATATTCTACAATCCAACCCATATATTCTGACCCATCTGAGCTTCAATTTTTTTTTATCTTGTTATATTATTAATAACTTTTTGTATGCAACTTTTGTAACTAATGTGTCATACAAATACTGTATTACAAAAAGGAAATGCTTAAAATATAAAGTAAGAATTTAATTTAAACAAAACAATCAAAAATGAATAATTTCTAAAAGAACACAAATAAAACAATATCAAGAAGAGATGATATAAATCTATATCTATAAAAGAGGAACTATGTATGTATATATATATATGTGTGTGTATATACGTTATGGACTCCGAAACCGCTAGACAGATTGTAATGAAACTTTCAGGCTTTATTAAGCATCTTTCTAGGATGGTTCGAGTGAAGTTTGGTGCAGATCCGTCAAAAGGGCTCTGCCCCAGAGGGTTTTAAGTGGGCCAATGTCAGACTTTTTGATCTACAATGTTTACAAATAAATATAATTTAAAAGCATATGTTTACTTTCACCAATTGTTTTGTAGGTTAATAATCACAACATTCTGTATTAGCATTAGTCATGATTTGAAATAGTGCTACAGTGTTTCTACAGAGTGCAGCACAGAAAACTATTTTACTTTTGAATAAGTCCAAATTTATAAACCCCAATCGCAGCACACCTGTGCACTCAACAACGTTTAAATTCTTCAATGTTAAATATTAAAAACATTAAAACCTTTATCAAAATATTATAAACAATAAAAGGGATGACTTTTTTAAATTTATGACAACAGCTAATTTGCAACCAAAAGGTGAGTGAGCGTAGCGGACGAACATGAACCTGGAGGCGAGTAAGCGTAGCGAACGAGCTAACCTGAAAACAAGAGAGCGCAGCGAACGATTTCCAACCTGAAGGTGAGTGAGCGTAGCGAATGAACTTCAACCAGGACGTGATTGAGCCATGCGAATACTTATCAAGTTAAGCGGGGCAAGGCCCGCGGGTACAGCTAGTATTACAATATCTTCTATATAATACGCTAGGCATATTTTTGTCATAATTGTTTTGGAGTGGTGGTTCTACCGATCACCATGTTCAAGGTGTCGTTAGAAAGGTCTTAGCATGTAGTTTTGCCATCAAACAAAAAAACTTTGGAATTCCATCAGGGCTCTGCCCCAGTGGCCTTCAAAGTTCCCATGTTATTCTTAGGGAGAAAATGTTTGTTTATATTTGAACAGATGAATACTTTGAAATTGACACTAATTTTTGAAACAGATGGTTATACTAAAATTTTGCACAAAATCAAAACATAACCAAAAAACGTTCGACATAATGGAGACTATAAGACTTTGACCAGGACGGCAAATAGAAAGAGGCCGACGAACTTTAACTGGTAGACGCGAACGAAATACAAATAATACTATTGTCGTTGATAGCCGAATCCAGCAAGCACCCGTCCGTGTTGGGTTTAAGTGTGCTCTCCAACAGTCGCCTGAAGATTTCACATTCAATTTATGACTGTTGGATAATCGCTGCATAAGCTATTGATTTTGGAAGAAAAGGAGGAGGGTAGGACTAATTTGGAAACAGAAGAGAGGAGATATTAGATGAGTGGCAAATGCGTTGGGAGCACAGTGTTTTATGTTAACGTTTTAAGGGTAAACGTTCGTTTCAATAGAAGCCGGTAGATGTGTGTGTACACTTATAATAAAACTATTCTAAACCATTACACAATGAGTATTTTGATTTTATATAAACCGAAACTCTTGTGTCATTGTGCTTTCGTTCAACGTGTGTGATAATTGCAGGTGTTGGGACAAAAACGCTTCAATCCGACCCAGTATGGACGAAGTGGTGAGGATAATGTCGGTCATTTACACATTTGTCAGTGGCTACGACCAACCATTGCAGTTTGACGATGACGCTTACAGTTTCTACACAGGTAAGCACATTAGAAATACTTTTAGTCTCTATGATAGAAAGTAGAGTCCTGCTCTTTGACAGTATATTTTTAATTTTGCCATAGACCGAAATGTTTTGGTAGTTTTTCAACTTCAAAGTATATTTTTTTCTCTTTGGGTGATGTCTCAGATTAAAACTTACCTTTGCTTACCTGGTAAAATTAAATTAAATTTTTCAATGTTAATATAGTTATATTTATATAGATACATTGGCTGTATGGGCTATTAATAAACAGTCCTGTATAAGGCAAATGTCGGCCTTAGTCAGTAATAAGTATACAAGATCACATTTATCTCCATTCATACAGGGTGCGGCAAAAAAACCGATCTTTTTAGCTAAACTACTCTAACGATATTATTTTCCCAATCAAGATAAATAGTTGTGTATTGTTGAACCATTCTAACGATATTCTACATGTCATGATAGGAATCATTGAGTCAAACCGTTGTAATGATATTTCTAGATGATGAAGCAGAGGAAGAATACGAGACTGAAAACACTCTGGGGTCACAAAGCATCCCAGACTCCTACATTGAAAGCTTAAGTAAGTTAGATTTTAAAAAGAATATGTAACTTTAAAGCAAGAATGTTTTGGGTTTACACTAAAGGTCCCATTTCATTTAGTGTTAAACCTCGTCAAACCCAAATAACATGCATTTGATATAGGAAAATTAGGATATTTGTTATTTACACAGAGATATGAAGTAAGTGTAAATCACAAAGTTGTTAGGAATTAAAAAACCTATAAAATGATGTGCCACTTGACATATGTTGCTATTTGAAAATTTTGAGCATTTGCAGATGTTAAAAAAATTTTTTTGGGAATTTTTATTATTAAAAAAAAACCGTTACTTGTTACATATCATTGTAAAGCTAATTTCATAACAAGTAAGGCAATTCAACCGTAGAAGGGCTAAATGCATTGGTATAGGAAACACAGAGTATTAAAAGATATAGATACAAAAAAACTGCCACCATTTTGAAATGGAAAAAGATAATTTAATTTCTGTTTTTGCCAAAGTGTTTGTCTGTTAAATACCTTTAAAATGATGTATAACATGACATATGTTTACATTTGAAAATTCCGAGATTCGAACTAGGTGATCAGTGAGTCAGCGAATGGTATTTGACTTTTATAAGTATTGATAGATTAAAGCTCGTGATTATTGTGTGACTTATTAAGCATGGATGTAAAATTAAAGAATAGCTATCTTGATAACTCAGCCGTAATTATTTTTGTTGGGTTAGCTTAGTTGGATTCTTGTTTTCTTTGTCTACTGGCGTGAAAATTTAAGGTCAGCTGATGAGTCATTTTATAAAAAAACAAAAAAATACATTAAATTATTATGGAAAGTTAACAACACTTATTTTCAAAAAGTAAAAAAGAGCTATAATAAAATCAAAACTTTATGGTGTATTTGGTACATACATGCAAGTATGACATTTTTTTGTTCAACCTATAAATAAAAAGAGGTCATAAATTTATGTTGTTAGGTTTTATTACCATACAAATGCTATGTGAAACAAATGATATAGGTAGCCTACAACATAGTCTTTCTTAAAAATAATATTTTTATTTTTAAACTAACTGCAAACTGCATCAAAATGTGCTGGCATTTTAGCAAATCTAACGGACAGTTCCAGAGTTAAGCCTATCCACTACTATGTGTACGCTCATTCTTCCTGTATGGGAACAAAACGAAACACAAAGCTATTTAGTGAAACCATCCACTTTATAAAACATGATATGCAAACATAACAATGAAATAAAATAAAAAAAAATTGCAGGGAAGAAAAACCATCAACAATACAACAAAATAGAAAATACAATAGCCAAGGTTCAAGTCAGCTGCATTCCGTCCAAACTTTCCCAAGGTGTCGATGAGGATCCCGCTTCCAACACATCATACGAGAGACAAAACTAAATCGCAGATACTGTAGTTGGTCGAGATAAATTGGCAATGATCTACTGATAATTTATAGTAACGGTGTTATTGTGGTTACAGGAAGTAACACAATGAATGGAACAGTCGATCCTCAGCAGAGCTGTGATCCCAGGTTTTCCACTCCTTTAGTCATCAACGTAGATCAGGTTGGTACATTACAGCACACAAATTATTTTTTTTTCTGTAGATTTTTTTAATAAAATTCAAACAATATAGTATAGTCTGTTTGATAGTAACATACTTAATATTACTTTAAAGAGCTGAATCTTTTAGTAGTTTTTTGGAAATTTTTGTCCACAATGTATTTCTAGTACAGTAGATGACAAAAATTACTTCAATTAAGTAGAACGATCCTCCAGATTGCATGACAAATGTAATCACTAGTTTCTAGCCAACCCAAGCAATTATCCTCAAGCTCAGTAAAGGATAAATTATCCTCTTGCCGCTTCATTTAAAGGTCGTCAACAAGAATAATGAATTAGCTACACACACGTATACAGACATTAAAAACACAAACATTGAAAGAGGCTAAAAACAATATGAATACTGTAAGTAAACAGGACACAACCTGATCAAGTCAAAGTTAAGTCTAGATTGCCCATCAACGTGGTCGGTGATGACATATTTCTTTTATTTCTTAATAAGCTGGTTTCATTATAAGCTGAACCACCCTTCTGTATTTCTAATTGCTGTATTTGATTGAATTGAAATTTTGTTGTTAACAGTATTTTGTTTGTAAAATTAGTCAGCTCATAAATTTGGAGTTCTTCAAACATTATATCACAAAGGCATTATAAGTAGACTATGGTTGTACCAGAGAGTGGTCTGAAGCAGGGTTGTTCTGAAATAAAACCTAATTTGTATTTGATGCCGGTTGTATCATTAGAATAGACCAGCTACAGAAAATATTTTCTATTTTAAATGTGTTGTAATTTACCATTTCCTTGTTCCAGGAACCTTCCGAATATTACCCCCTCAATGATTTGGGCTGTGAAGATGTGGACTACGAACCCTCAATGAAGGGACCCTTACCTTATCCTGAAACAAGTTCTCCTCAGAGACCACCTAACAGTGAGTTGTGCGAAATATTTGTAAACATACTTCCAGTTCTCTAAAGCAGTATTTCCCAACCCGTACGCAGAGCTGCAGAGGTGATTGTGGTAGTACTATTATTACTAGAGGCTAAAATTCCTTAATCCGTCATGTGATCAATGTCACCGATGGGCGGCAACCGGTTTCAACCCGGTAATGGAGTCATCTTCAGGCGTAGGCTAGAAGGAACATGGAATCACTCTGAAGAGGTTGTCGAGAGTCTTGAAAAACGTAATGAAGAACAATTAACACTAATACACATTTTCTTATGAAACACTTGTGGCCACAAAACGATTACGCGGCGGACGGTACGCATACTTTAAATTATAAGTCCAGACATGTGGTGGTACGTTTCAGGGTAGTTTAACATGATAAAAACTTAATTACTTTTTGAAATCTAAATGCTTGTTGTCAGTGCTCAGTGCTAAAGTATTCATCAATTGCAAAAATATAACCTTTTCTAAAAAAAAAGCTCAGCCCTGATTCAGAAGTAATCGGGTTCTCTCAGAACGTATTTAATCAGAGATATTCTCAGGTTGGCAAAAATCTTCACTCTCAGTTTTCTAATCAATGTTTTGTTTTACATTTTTATATTTTCCTTACAGCAAATTGTGTTTTGTATTTGTTAATTACCATATGAATTTCTAGTTCATACAAATAAATAAAATATAATAAATTTGAAGGTAAATAAATACATTTCCCCCACATAGTTATTAGTAAGGGTTATTATTGAGGGAAATCAACATAGTTTTTGTGATTGGTGTGGTGTGGGACCACTGACTTTTGTTTTAAGATTCTTATAAGGAAAAATGCCATTTGTTTAAACTAACTACTATCTGTGCACAAGTTAACTTTCGTTAAAATTCTCAGAGAGCAAGTATGGCGGCATTAAATGAACAACTAGCGGGAACACTCGGATATTATCTGGAGTCAATTATGATGATTTCAAGTACAAATTATTTTAATGACTCAAATTTTGTACTCTTTAAAACAAAACAAGCTGTTAGCCAGACCTCCGTACAGGAATCGATCAGTCAATTAAAACTGAACATAATTCAGAACAGCTAGTTTACACGCATAAAGACTAATTCTGACATTTGTAATGGGGAAAATCATCTTGTAAACAAATATCACGTGACCCCCTATTTCTTGCATCCAATTATAGGCCTATACGATATGCATTTTACATCCGATACTTTAACAATAAAACAGCTATTGTGTCGATTTAAAAAGCCTTGAAGTGAGATGGCGACCAATTCACACACACTGATTTTGAGTACAGTAGCTACATACCACCTTCAATTGTATACTATCACTTACCATACAGCTGGTGACATCTAAGCTGGCATTTGGCCGATCGCTACTAGCATCTATCCCATCATGTGGGCTGTGTCAACTGTCCTCGCGACTCACGTGAAGGCGCTCAAGTATGTAATACACAGGTAGTCAACCCTGTGAGGTAGTGGAAATGTTTGCAGTCCGGTCTTTTCCTTACCTCCACCCTCCTCTCGCCAACACTGCCCGCGTTAGGCCAATTGCCAGCTTAGGTGTCACAAGCTGTACCTTATCTTACCTACATGGCCACTGAAACCTTAAGAGGATTCTGGCCTCCAATTCTCTTTTATCCCCTGCAGAATCCCCTAATGTAGATCCCAGTCTAAAGATGTCTTTTGTTTTATTACTTGGTCCAAATGGTCCTCCAAGCCTTTTGGGACTTCTTAGAATACACTTTTATAAGTTGATGTATCTTCTCTCCACCATGCATAACCTTCCCATCAGAGCCTTTTACTTTGGAAAGCACCCCTATATGGTGTCAATACATTTCTCTTAGCTCTCTGTTCTTTCGTGTCTCAACCTCCATTATCTTGAACTGGTCTGTATATTTTTACTGCTCTCTATTCTCCAACCCAGCAATAAGGTTTTTCAGTTCTTTGGTCAGTGCTCAAGTTTCTGAACCATACTGTACCACTGGGATAGTTATGGTATCGTCCATTTTGGTTTCTACTGACACTCTGCAGCTTATTGGACAGTTTTCTAGAGACCAGCTACACTGGTTGAAATTTTCATTACTAACAAAAATGTTGGTATGCCGACATACACACATTTGAACATTAAGAAAAAGAAGCATCAACACGTAAATCAGTTCAATTTTAAACGATTAAGCAATAGTGTGAAAAAAAATTCCCAAACTGTCTAGATTTTCATGGCATAAAATTATACTTACACATATTGCATTTACGACAAAACTTGATTATACACAAGTGTTTTGGATGTATAGTTCAAAATTACACATTTCCTGATAACGCAAATCCTTCACGGTAGGAATAAAACTACTTTTTACACTGAAATAGTATGTAAGCAAACACCGACAATCAATATTTTTGTAAACAATTAACTTGTAACAAAAGCATTTCAATGACAGTTTGAAAAACCAGAGGCCTGTTTCATAATAAACTACACACTAACATTATTAATAAATCAGCTGATTGCCCAATGCAAATATAATGGAAATTACAAGTAACAGCTTGTAGTTTATTATGAAATGAGCCCAACTGTCCTTGACATTCCCTTCCAAAATTATCTTTCTTTCAACAACAAAAAAATCATGAAACTCCGTCTAGTGGTTGATTCAGAATCGTGAAATAAAAAAACCCTGCCACGTATTAATATATAAGATTACCTCTTTATCGTTAACTGTATTTTCTTCCTTTCTATCTTTCTTCTTTGTAAACTAAAAATACAAGCACACCTGTCAAGGAATCAATTCAAAGTCGGTTTAATCTTTTAGTCTGTGCATTGTTGCCAAAACTATTTCGATGAGTAAAAAATTTGTTTTCATTGGCAATCGTTAGAGACACTCGTGACTTTGTCTTGTGAAATGAATAAGCATTCTAAATATATCAATCCTCGTATACGAATTGTTCTAATTATCAGGATAGTACTGTGGATAGTTGTAGTACTCACTCTTGCGGACGTTAATCCACACCAGGGAGTATCGCATCCACAGTGCATGCCTATAAATAAATATCCACAATTCGTAACCTCCTAGTAGCTGGATTACAGGACAACTGATAAAGTGCTGATCTACAAAACTCAATGGGTTTTTCATATAATAAAAACAAATTTGTCAGAAAACATGGGCAATTGAAAATCATTAATCAAAACCCACCTTACTTGGATACTTGGAGTATTCCTACAGGTTTTTTATCAGCGACGTGGTCATCAGGTTAATTATTTTTCTTGCTTTTAATTTTTTTTATTGATTTTATTTCCTTCTCAAGAATGCATATGGCCTAGTTATACAGTATATTTAATCAACATTGTAGTAGGCCGTTTGACGTACAGGTTCTTGAATTTTGTTGAATAAAGGTTCTTGTGTGATGTACTGAGGCAATTTGTTGTAAATTTTGATGCTTTTGAAATATGGACTCTTGCTTGCAAGGGTGGAATTTATTTGAGGTACTTGTGGATTTGTTGCTATTCTTTTATTGTAATTATGGATCAGACTATTAGTTACAAAAATATTAACGAGTGTTGCAGATTCCATTATGAGAGACGGAAGTTTGAGAATGTTCTGTTCCTGGAACGGAGGTTTACAGCGTGTCCTTAATTTGTTTTTGTATACCTCTAGAACTAGTCCTAATCTTTTTAATGCTTATAAGATGAAAATGAAATTGAAATAAACCATTTTACTAATGAAAGGATTTTTAGGTCGGTAGGATTTCTTCAACAATATGAAATAGAACATTTTGTAAAGTTGCTGAAGGACTGAAAATTATTACTAGCTGTAATAGTTTTCAAATGTAGTATAAGATAAACTATCCACTGTGAAAAAACATACAGGGTTGGTAAGCTTAATTTAATACTCAAATAGATCCAAGGTTACCTTAATTTACCATCCGAGAGTTAGTTGTTATTGGCAAAAATGTTGGAAATTGTATGTACTGTCATTTTGTCAACAGAGGTTGGTTACGCCCAGTTGTAGGATTTACAGTCAGAGAAATAGGATGATATGACCTTAAAAAAACTGCAAGAAGACATTTTATGGTTTTATTTTGTAGTGTTGGGTGTGCAGAGTGACATGCTAAAATTGGCCAAAATCGGTCCGTGGGAAACCCCTATAATCACTATCAATTGGACAAATTTTGAAAAAAAAAAATGCCACACATTATTTATGCAAATTTTTTGAGAACTTGACTTGTGACCACCGCCGATATTTGTTGGGTGGTTATTACTTCATTTTGATTTGGAACGCGTTTTTGGCCACCATTTTGGATCCGCCATAATGGATATAAATATACAGTTTTTAGTGAATTTCCCTATAGGGAAGTAGTAATTACCGTAGGTCTCATGGTAATACTTTTATTTTGATGTCCCCAGAGGCCAAAAACACCATTCGCTCAAATCGTTATATATGTATATACATAGAGATTTTATATATATATATATACGTGTCCGTCCAGACGATAAATTGAGTTGAAGGTGTAAGGCGGGATAAACTTTGACTGATTTCGCGAACCAGCATGATCGGACCATGGGAACGGGGTTTTATGGGGTAAAAATGGAGAATTCTAATTTTTTATGCTTAAAACACAAAATTTATAAATTTTTCTTCAGACCTTTTTAAAAAGCTTAAAAAACAAATAATTTAGTATATCAAAGTGTTTTTATATTGCTATTGATATTTTAATAAAAAAAATAATACACTATTAGTTTCCTTGTAGCAGCTAACTTAGGTACTCGTTAAACATAAATGTTAATTTAATAGAATAATTGAAAATCAATCCAGGCAAATAGAAATTCGCTTATTAGGCATGTTAGCTGCAGCGGGGGTATTTTAATGTAGAGATATTTTTGTGACACATAATTATAAACTACATTTTTCATGCTGATTTCAATGTCAATTTCAATTTCTCCATTTAAATATATAATCAAACGAAAACTCTCCCCCATACATTTCTTACAGACATTTTGTACTT